TCTTAGAAAACTCAGGACCACCTGCCTAGGGGTGGTGCCACCCACTGTGGGCTGGGTCCTCTTATACCACATTCAAGAAAATGCTTCACAGATATGCCTACAGGCCAAATGGATAGATGAAATTCCTCAGTTGAGGGTCCCTCTTCCCAGGTATGTCAAATTGACAACTGAAGCTGTCCAGAACACTTAATATCAAAATAGTTTCCAAATATGTTAAAGATAAACCTACAATGGTTTTAGTTCAGTAACATGTCCAGCATGGGCTCAGTCCCCAGCACCAATAAAAAGAAAGGGGAGAAAGAAACCATACAAGAACTTAAGGAAAACATGAGATCCTAAGACAAAAACTAACCTTGGAATTATAAGCAAGGTATAAAAATCTACAAAACACAATAAAAGGATAAATATATTTTACAATGTATTGTAACATGTCAACAAAAAAGTTAAAAAGCTGTATACTACGCTAAAAATAAGCTGGACAAGTTATTCTACAAAAGCTCTACAAATGATTAATAAACTTGCTAATGAAAGACATTATAAATCTATTAGGGAAAGATGAAAATTACAATAAAAATGAATAATCATTTAAAAAGAGCCTTCATTAGCAACGAATCAAAATGGTTAAATACACATGAAAAGTGATGAAATGGTTAGTAACAAATCAGACTGACCTAGTATAAGAACCAAAAGACCTCCACACCACTGCAAATTCAAATGGTTCTCAGCTTGGAAACATAAAATAAATTTACACATATCTGATCACCCTATACTTTTTCTTAATGGGATGGTGCGTGTGTGTGTGTGTGTGTGTGTGTGTGTGTGTGTGTGTGTGTCCAGAGGGTAACATCTTCCTCAAGGAAGGTGTTAAGGTGTCTTCCTCAATCACTCTCTACCTTATTTTTTGAGACAGAGTCACTCACAGAACCTGAAGCTTACCAATTTGGCTACATCCCCACCCTGAGATTACAGGCACACTTTTGTGTCCAGCTGTTAAGTGGGTGCTGGAGAGTTAAACTTAGATTCTCTTTCTTGTGTGGTAAGAACTTTACCCACTGAGCTGTTTTCCTCATCTCCTTTCCTTCTGAAATTAGAGATTTATAATGTAGTAGCCTATTTGATGTCTCAAAAAATCAACTTCTTGAGTGCTGGAGAGATGGATCAGTGTGTAAGGGCACTTGCTGCCAAGCTGAAGGATCCCCAGAACCCACACAGTGGAGAGAAAGAACTCCTTCAATTGTCCTCTGACCTCCACCCTTCACCATGGCATGCACACACATAATAAATAAATAAATAAATAAATAAATAAATAAATAAATGCAAAAAATCAGCTTCTCAAGCAGGCTGAGATTTAGACTATAAGTCTCTTGTCTATTGCCACATTCCTCCGTTTTAGTTGTAGAATTTTCTCATGGTTGGTCTGCACACAAGTATGAATGATAGATATTTATGGCTTAAATTGACACAATATCTATTTTTTAAATTTTATATTACTTGATGTAAATAAGTTAGAAAACTCTCATAAGTTATAAACTCTCATGCACACAAGGGAGCAAACCAACCAATGGTCCTACTCAGCTGTAGAGCCTATAAACAATGACTGGTCCTGAAATCTATTGCTATTGGTGCAGTAGTGGCATTTTTATCTTGGGGGTAATCAACAGATGCCTAATTGGAATTAAGGTCTGCTCAATGGAAAGGAACTCATGTGTGGTACTGTAATTCATTTGAATTTGCAGCAGTGTGGAGGTCTTTCGGTTTTTATACTAGGTCAGTCTGATTTGTTACTAATCATTTCAGCACTTTTCATGTGTATTTAACCATTTTGATTCATTCAAATACACATGGCTGGAGAGGTCATAGATCCCTGAGAAAACTCTACTTTTGCTACATCCAAAGTCCAAATGTAATTTCTTCCTTTATTCTAAATATGCATCCTCATATTTACAGACAAGTGTACCATTCTCCCCTAATCCAAGAAACTTCTTTTTATAACAGATGGCGACTATTGCAGAGTTCCAGAACTGGCCAAATGCACAGAATAAGTGTCTGTGACACACTTAACCCTAAGTGACACATCTTCAGTGCAACCTCTACACATAGAATGAACTACACATAGACCTTCTCACCAGAGAAGTTTCTTTATGCAGCAGATGGTGATTGTCCTAGTTTGTTTCTTCATTGCTGTGACAAAACATTCTGACCACTACCAACTTGGGGAGGAAAGGATTTATTTATCTTACATCTCCTGGGTCACAGTTCATCAGGGAACCCAAGTTAGGAACTCAGGGCAGGAACCTGGAGGCAGGAGCTGGAGCACAGGCCATGGAGGAACTCTACTTACTGGCTTGCTCCCTTGCCCCCTGCTCAGTCTGCCTTCTTCTTCTTTTTTTGGTCTTTTTGAGACAGGGTCTCCCTGTAGCCCCAGCTGTCCTGGAACTCACTATATAGACCGTGCTGGCCTTGAACTCACAGAGATCCACCTGCCTCTGCCTCCCAAGTGCTGGGATTAAAGGTGTGTGCTACCAAGCCCATTTTTCAGTCTCCCTTCTTATGCAACACAGGCCCACCTGCCCAGGGTGGCACCACCCACAGTGGGCTGGGCCCTCCCACATCACTCACTCATCAAGAAGATGCCCCATGGACATGGCCACAGGCCAGTCCAATGAAGGCAATTCCCCAACTGAGGCTCCCTCAACCCAGGTGTGCCAAATTGACACTAAAGCTATCCAGCACAGTGATTAACCATAGAAACCACAATTTGTTGGTGTGCAGAGAATAATAGGACACAGAGTGCTTATCCCTGAATAGAGCACCTATTTCAAACCTCTGCTTCCCAAGGCTCAGGGATCATTGTGGAAGAGGAGGCAGAAAGATTGCAAGAATCAGAGAAATGTTTCACAAATAAACAGTCTTCCAGACAGCTGGTCAGTTACTCATATGAACTCACAGCAATGGTGACAGCATAGTCCTATGCAAGCTCAAATCACACGAAATCCCAGCAGACATGGGGAAGTGGGTAAGAAATGTCAACCCATCCTAAGGAACTTTTGGCAATTGTTGACTTCTGAGTGTGGGAGAGACAGTGTCTTACAGGGATAGGACTCTTGCTGGGCCCAGTGGATGCACTCACATTAAAGGACCTCTGGGGACACAATTCAGACTCTATAGGCCACGATACATATGAGAGTACATTAAATTGGTTGGGGGGGCAGGAGGGAGAGAAGCAGATAGGAGAGGGATACTGTCAAATTAAACTGTAATGAAAATCCCAAAATTTCAATAAAAAATAAAAAAAACTCTCATGGACACACACACACACACACACTCACATTCATATATACACACAAACACACAGATGCGCAAAATGCACTGACACTCAAGGGAACACAAAGACAGATGAAGACCTTAGTACCTTGAGAACTGCAAATCATGTTGAGCTTTTCCCCCCAAGACAGGATCTCACTATGTAGCCCCAGCTGGCCTGGAACTCACTATGTGCACCATTGCAGGCTGGCTTTGATTCATAGCCATCTGTCTGCTTCTCTCTCCCAAGTGGCGGAATTAAAGGTGTGTGCCACCATGCCTGGCCTTCAAACCTGTACTTTTTGAAGTCCTGGTTAATTTGAGTTTATATTTGTTTATATCATTCTTTTAGTATTAAGCAAGTCAGGCATATTGACAAATAATTTCTGTATTGTCCTAATAGCCAACTATTTTATAGTCAACGAAACTATTAATGTGTCTCTTCTCAGCTGTATGTTTATATGTTTTTCCTCTAAAATTGTACAAGATGAAAGATGTGGTGGTTTGAATGAGAGTGTCCCCTGTAGGCTCCAAGTATTTGGACATTTTGTCCTCAGTTGGGTGCTGTTTTGGGAGGTCTTAGAAGGTGTGGCCAGGCTGGAGGAAGCATGTCCCTGTGGGCAGGCTTAGAGAGTTCTTAAGCCTCGCTGGATTCCCAGTCACTGTTTCCTGTGCCTACTTGAAGATGTGAGCACTTAACTTTCTGCTCCTGCTCCAGCCTCAACATGCTTCCCTGCCACGATGGACTTTAAGCACTTAGCTTTCTCCTCTGGCTACCTCCTGCCACCATACCTTCCCACCACAACGGACTCTGATTCCTCTGGAACCATAAGCTCAAATAAAGTCTTCCTTCTATAAGTTCCCCTGGTCATGGGGTTTTATCATAACAACAGAAAAGCAGCTAAGACAGAAGAAAATCCATATTTTACTACAATATAGCAAACAGCTTTTCCTGTGTATTAACCTATGAAAACTTCACAGCTGTCATGGTATACTCTGAGGATTTTTAAAAGATTGATGTTCTGAGGAAGAACTCTCTTGGGCATACTACAGTTCCTAAGGATATGTATGATCAGCCAGTCCTGAGATTTCTTGGCATCTGAAACTTAATTGAATTATATTAGTTTTTTTATGTTTAGTAAAGTATATGTAGTGATTTAATACATAAGATAATCTCAGAAAACTTGGAAATAAAGCAATAATTGAAATCACATGTACCAATGTAAATGACTTTGCAAGCTTGACTTATTACAAGTTAATACACTTGACTATAAAAACTAAAAATTCTGATTTGTTCAGAAATATTCAATAGCTTTTCCTATGTTTTTTATATTTGATTTCCATTAAAAAAGCAATTAGTGTAAATGTTGCATCTATACAACATAGATATGCATCCAAATATCAAATTATATCTTATTAATATTCACAAATAAAAGTTTTCAATTAAAAAGATGTACTAGGGCTAGAAAGATGGCTTAGCAGTTAAGAGTGCATACTGCTCTTGCAGAGGCCCTGAGTTCGTATCCCAGGACCCATAGAAGGTGACTCACAATTGCCTACAACCATAGCTCCAGGAGATCTGACAACCTCTTCTGACCTCTACAGCACTGCACTCAAGTACAAAAACCCACACACAGGCACACATGTACACACATAATTAAAAATTTAAAAACTAATCTTAAAAAGGAAGTACTTACTCTTGCATGTATATTTTCCTGTAAAAGAGGAAAGGAAATAATTTTAATATAAACATATGAGATAAGATGCAATATTACTAAACATTTTAAATTTTATATGAAATAAACTAATAAGTGATTTTCATGAATGTCCTATGGAATCAAGTCTGATTGTTTTATAATATGTTCTAAAATGGCAGTGTAGTATAGTTACCGTTCTTGTTTCATACCTTATATATAATTCAAAACTAGTGATTAAGATTATAGTTAGTAAATTTTCACAATTCAAAATGGATTTAAATTTGTTTATATTTTCAAAAAAATAATATCTCTCTCTACAGTTTTATGCAGGTTAGTTTTTGGGACAGGATCTCACCATTTAGCCCAGGATGACATTGATGTTGCTATGTAGCCAAGGTTGGCCTTGAACTTGCCGTGCTCCTACTTTGGCCTCCTTAGTGCTGGGATTACAAGTGTGTACCACTATGCATATTATTAACAATTCAATGAATACTTCACAAAGAAATCCTTCGCTAAGACATTGCTAGTTTTGGTGGCTACGATTTGCTCCCGTAAGCTGAAGTTCTTCCGAAGAAAAGCACATGACCTGCTTCTCCTTCCACTTCCTCTCTACTCCATTTCCTACTTCCTACTTCTTCCCCAGATGCCACGGCAACCACAGACTCCTTAATACAGTCAGCCAGGATGCTGTAGCCTCTAGGTCTTGCTGTTTCTTCTGTGCAGCTTTCCCTCTAGAGTTCTATATGCTCATTCATTATTCTTTTCAGGTCTTTGTTCCCATGTCGTTTCCCTGTGAAGCCACGTTCCACACCGTCTTCTTTATCCCTTTCCATGTTATTAATTTTTCATACTGTATAACTTTCTTATTTAGTTTGTGTTTGTCTGTCTTTCTAACATGAATAAGAATTTATTCATGATTTGTTCATTTCTGTGATCCCAAATCTAAAAAGTGACCAATATTTTGTAGGAGCTCAATGCATGTGTCAAACTAATTAGTTATGAAAAAAATTGGGAATTCATCAGGATAAATTTGAGGAATAAAGAGATGAAAATTTTTCCCTAAAAATGTCATGTGAATATTAAGAAATAAAATAATAACATGTGTTTATGACCTGATCAATACAGCCTCTCTTGGCTTTTCAATATTTTGGAATATAATGATATTTTTAATATCAAAAAATTGTGTTACTATATGCTTCAATAGTAGACATTTTTTGCATTTAATGATTGAAATAAAATTTAATGATAAAGATGCTGAATTTCATAAATTTTAATGAGTTTAATAAGTTAAAAAGGTAATTCCAGTTCTTCAACTCTGTGGAAAGAAGAGGCTTTTGTGTGAAGCAAGTGCTTCCTCCATCTTCAGACCTGATGTGCAGATGGATCCCCAGACATCTTGAAATAATGAGGTTCTGCTAAGTCCAAAACCTCCAAATGGGAATCAATCGCAAAAGTATTCTGCCCTTAAGATCCAGAGCTGTTACAATTTTAGGGAATTATTAACACTGTTTAAAGAACTGCTCTACGGTCATGAAAGAAATGGCCTCGCAGCCCCCCTTGGCCACTAGCTCCTTCCATTTGCCTCCTGTTTGCTCTTGCTCACTTGCTAATTTTGGTCCTTCTAATGAAGAATTTCATTTGTTATAGGATTTTTTTTTTTTTGTAGATCAAAGATTGGAAAACATGAAATAAAAAAACCCCCACAATGTCCCATGGCAACAAGCAACAGAATTGCTTGCCATTTAGGACATGACGTGCACTGAAGTTGAAGAAAAACATTAACTCCTGGAGAAGACTTGGAACTGTTTTTCTATTTCACTTATTTCAACTAAACAACCTAAATATAATAAAAATCAATTGTGTGCTTAATGTAATATGACATTTTATAAAAGGAACCCTGAGAATTTTTCCAGTAGGAGAACCCACATTCTATAATGGAGGGGCACCATGTTATAACATCCTTTGATTTTCTCACCACCAAAGAAGAAAAACTCTCCTTTAGGATAAATCTTAAAACTGTCCAGAGGTTAATCCAAGCCAGGACAATGTAGGAAGAAGGAAGTTAAATTGTGTCCATTTATCCTTTTATGGGATAAAATAATTTGTCTACCAATTAACTCCCTCTTTTACCTGGCCTATTATAATTTGACTCACGGCTTAAAGATTTTATGTGGCTATTCTTTAAAGATTATAGTGTGTCTTCAAAAATAATGTGATGTAATAAGGAACTGAAAGAATTCCCAAAAGTGGTTTTAATTTTTATTTGCAAAACTCTATTTAGAATAAGAACACAATGTGGTGATAAATCAAAATGCATCCTCTTAGATTTTGCATTGCATGGGCTTTTTGCCTCTTTTCTCTCCAAAGGTGGAAGCCCCTGGAGCAATGTGACCGAAATGCCTGGTGACTGAAAGTTGAATGTTTTTCTCATGAGAATGGTGGCCTTTGTTGGAAAAGATAAATGTAATTTAATTTGACAATGAGGCATGAGGCTAGAAAAGTGTCTTCTCACTACCAAAAACAAAAAACACAAAAAAACTCAACAAAAACAACAAACCCCAAACCCAAGAAACTTAGGAATGTCCCCTTTTTTTCCTCTATTATAAAATAAGCAGACCTGTGGGGCCTGTGACATGTAGAGGGGACTTTAGTGGTATTTCTAACTGGAAAATAAAAGCAGGAAGCAGCAGAGAGGATGCTCCAATTCTAGCTGCATTTGCATCGCGCTCATTCTGTTTTCACCTTCTTCACACAGATCAGAAATCCTAGGCAATTCTGAAGAGACTCAGTAGCCACGTCCTTAGTAAACAGCTTCCGTACCTTTCGAGAACATATTGACACAACATTGCACAGGGTTTTAGAGTCATTCATGCTATTTGTTTAAACACTCCTTGCTGAATAAATAAAAATGTGCAGATTTCCAGTTTACAGGCTATAGATGCAGATGCATACTATCCTTCTGGATGTTTATAGAGTTTGTTCTTTATCTTCAAACTCTGAAATTACTGCTAGATTTTATCTATACTGATGAAAAAAGTCCATCTGCATCAGGGACAACTGTGAGTAAGCAAAGTGGTCATGATTTCCCTCTCAAGTAGTTCTTACATATCAGAAATCACCTGAGGGTGCTTGGTAAAAATGAGGGCAGGGGCCTGAACTGTTAGCAATCCTTTAGCCACCCTTTTTTATTTTATTTTTTTAAGTTCTGCATGTCAATACACATTCCTGGGGAGAAGATGGCTCAGTTACTAAGAACACTGGCTGCTCTTGCAGAGAACCTGGGTTTGGTTCTCTGCACCCACATGGCAGCTAACAACCATCCTTAACTCCAATTTCAGGGGAATCTGATACTTTCTTCTGGTCTCTAAGGACATTACAACATAGGTGTACTTACACACATGCAGACAATACACTCAAACACACAAAATAAAAATAAATAAAATATTTTTAAAAAGACATATCCCTGGTAGATCTGGCACAGAGGAATACACACACTAAGAAATACCACCTTACCACTTCAAAAGGATTTAAACTTATTTTCTGGATATGAATATTATTTCCTCTTTTGAATGATAATGGACTTCAAAGGATAACCAAGGGTCATAAGTTTAAATCTCTTATGGAAGCAGGCAATGTCTCTGCCATTCTTTTGGAAATTAGTCCTGAACTTCACCTACTGAGATAGCTTCTGGTATGCTACTTAAATTAACTTTTGTGTTGCTATTAAATTTCCCAGATGGTTTTATCTTCCCAACTATACTTTGTGCTCCCAGGGGGCAAGAACTATACTGATATATTTAAAAATATTTTCAAAATTATCTAGCACTCTTAAATATTTATTAGGCCCTCAATAAACATTTTAATTTGGTTAAAATGTAACCTAAGTGGCTTTAAAATCCTCTTTAGCTTCTGAGGCATGAAGCCAGTTCTCAAACGGATATTGCCTTAAACCAAGTTGTTCCAATATCCCTTGTGCTTTCAAAAATGGAGGCTGCAGCTAATATTCATTAGAAATGGCAGCCGTGCTCTGGCTCCTCTATTTAGCCACTCGGAAACAGCACGGTGACAGTAATAAGTTTGACTGATTACTTGGCAAGGGAAACCAAGCCCCGAGGGTGTTCTGGACTCTCTTTGGCCTATAAACCTGTTTGAAAACTTGTTTCTCAGAATTTAAAGCTTAGGTCAACTGAGGTCAGTATTATAGCGATGTCAATAATTCTACTGGTTGCAGCCTTCAGGCAGACCTTCACAATTCATCATTAACTTTGTTTTCATGGAAAGGCAACTTTGTGGAAAATAGCTTTAACTTACACTATTTTACTTTGATTTTCTTTCCCTTAAGAAATAGTTCTGTCAACATTGTTTCGTTTAAATTTTGTGCATTCTATACCTTAAGACCTTTCGGTGGCTATAATTATTTCCAAAAGTCAGAATGGCTCCAAATATACACAGTTTGAGACATCACAGGACAATAATTTGTAGATTTAAAAAAATGGCAAGCTATTAGGTTTGAAAGTAAATTTAGGTAACAATCTTGAAGTTTTGAAATTGCCTCTGACTTCAACTGCTTTAAAAATATGTATTTTTTTGGATTGACTTCTTATGTACGCACGTATTAGTGTTTTGCCTACATGTACATTCATGTGCAGTGCCCACAGAGGCCAGAAGAGGGCATCAGATGCCCTGGAACTGGAATTACTGATGGTTGTTAGCAACCAGGTGGGGCTGTGAGCCCAATCCCATTTTTGCAAAAGCAGCAAGTGCTGTTAACTGCCGTACCATCTCTCCAGCCTCCACCCTCAGTTACTTTTTAAGGAGATGATGTTGAGCTGTACGGCACCGGGGATATTTTGGCAGGCTCTGGGCTCATAGAAGTCAAAAGCTAAACACGTAACACAGTTATTTATCTTCAGCTGAGCAGCTCCACTTCTGGGGAGCAGTTAGGTGGAGCATGTGCCCAAAGTCGACTGCCTTTTTTTCCAGGTAACGCCCCCAGGCAAAATTTGATGTAAGGAGATAGCTGTTCATTTTCTAAGATATGTTTTTCTAGTATTTCTAGAACCCAAAAGATGGAATGTGGCTCAAGACACACCTGTATTGGATTAGATATTGCCTCTTGTTTAAGCTAGGGAAGGTGTTCATAGTCAGGACATAATTATTTTACCGGAGGGAAAAGTACCTGTCCATATAGAAGACTTTGTTCTTAACAATATATGAACTTATTTACATGAATACAACTTTAATTTTTCTCCAGACTGATATGGTAATAGTGAACTATACTGAAAATAGTCAGAAATAATTAGCTACAGCTACCCATCACATAAATATGAGTTATTTGACCATGCTGAGATCCTTATACATAAGGTAGAAAGTCTTATTTATTTTTGTTTTCTCAGAACCTAACTTATAGAAGTCATAGCACAAGCACTAATGAAATAATCACATTTTTTTTTCCAACGTATGAAAAAAATCTTGAAGCGCTGCAATTTCCTAATGGCCAGTAGAGGGCAATAAAGCTGAACTTTTATTTGTTTATTGTCATTGGGACCACTTTGAACTCTTTCAGATCTAATTCTAGCCTGGCAAGTCTTCCTCCAGAGTAGCTTCATTTATCCCCCCACCTCACCACAATGCTGCTACAAGCTTCTATGTCACAGCAGGATATCTCCCCTTTCTCCCACAATGTGGAGCAGGACAGGAAGGTGTGCTGGAGTCAGACTGGGGCACATTGATTCAAACAGCTCAGCTCCCTCACTTGGTTAATCCCTGACCTCATCAAGATTATCTGACAGTGGGCAGTTCTTAAAAGTAAAAGTAAAAGGATATAGGAAAACTTGGTAAGATGGGAAAAGGAGCGATTTTAGCTACACATGCAGTGTGACACCAATTTCATCTAAAAGAATCAGATCAAACACAGCCTCATACTCACATAGCTTATTATAAAAGATAATATCTGGGGTTATTACGTGATTATGGAATATTAAAAGTTAGAACTCTTATTCATACTTAGATTTTTTAAAGTTTTTATAGTGTTTAGAGAGTTCTTTGGGGGGGAATATATTATGCAGCATTTCTGCCGCCCACTTGCATATTAGGGATGAGAAAGGTGAACGTGGCTAATTGTCCTGAAGCTAATGTTAGCAGGGCCTGATTTGTCTTCACAGTTTCCCCACAGTGAATTTGGGGAACAAGGAAGGCTATTCAGGAAATCCCATTCACCTTTTAACTCACTGCCCACTGGTTCATGAGAATGCACGCTACGGTAGCTTTTAGAAAGGGCTTTCCTTTTATATTTTATTTTTTGAGATTGCATTTTTCTCCACCTCTACAAAGCCCTGAATCTTCTCCCATGGTATTTTTAGTCGACCTCTCAGGAAAAAAAAGTCAGTCTGGGCTTGTGGCATGTCAGCTTTTTATAAGGTAACAAAGCTATATTCTCAGCAGGCCACATACAATGTGGGCTTTATGGGAGACTTTTCATCTACATCCATTTCACATCTTCCCTGCTAAGCAACCAGAGTAAATGGGAATCACCATTTGAAAAACCTCACTTTAAGGACTGGATGCAGTGGCTCAGATGTTGCTTCAGCTCGTCTTCCTTTTCATAGGACTCCAGGACACTGTGCGCTTCGTCATGGTGATAGCAGTAGATTTTATAAATATCTTCCAGATGTCCTTTAATCTGCAAGAATACCTCTCCTGAGCAATGCAAAACAAAGACAAAGTGACCTCATCAGACCAAATTTACAATTATCTTTCAACACTGTTGACTAGTGTAAAAAAGTTGTGATCCACCCATCCCCAGATTACTTGGGAGGAGTGTTAGACATTAAGTGAATAGTTTTTCTTTCCCTTTTTTCTCCTCCTTCTGTCTTTACCTCCCTCCCTCCCTTTTCTCCTTCATTCATTTATTTTTTGGGGTTTTTTGGAAATATTTTGTTATTTTTATTTTATGTGTATGATGTAAGTGCACGCGTGTTGTACAGTGTTCACAGAGGACATAAGAGGGCATTGGATCCTCTGGAACTGGAGCTATGGACAGTTGTCAGTCACCCCATGGGTGCTGGGACCTGAACCCAGGTCCTCTGCAAGAGCAGCCAGTGCTCTTATTGGCTGAATCATCTCTTCAGCCCCTATTCTTTTTTTTTTTTTTTTTTTTTTTTGTCTTTTTGAGACAAGGCTTCCCTGGAGCCCCAACTGGCCTGGATCTCACTATGTACACCAGGCTGGCCTGGATCTCATGGAGACCCACCTGCTTCTGGAGTGCTGAGATTATAGGTGTGTGCTACCTTGCCCAGCTCTCCATCCTTCTATAAAACAAAAGATGAAGATCCTAATAGATTAGTGTGCAGAATCATAGTTTATGAGCAGGCTAGTTTAGAGTTGGTCTTCACAGATTTGAAACGAGCTCTGCTACTGACTGGCTTTGTGGCATAAGCAAATTATTTTAATTCTCTGAATCTTTTTCCTCATCTATAAATTACTAGCCACAATAGATTAAACTTTATAGAATTATTATTGAACTTAAGAGAGGTTGTATGTTCAGAGTTCAGAGTATAGCACATATGTAATAAATGCTCAGAATGGAGTAGGTTTTGTGTGTGATTGTATTGATATTTATTCTGCTAATATTACCTAAGGTTCTCTGGTCTCTCTCTCTCTCTCTCTCTCTCTCTCTCTCTCTCTCTCTCAAAAAGAAAATAATAATAAAAAAACTTAAACAATTTAGACAAATCATGTTAGTATATAATTCTCTCTGTACATTAATACAGTGAATGAACCACTACTTCTTGTAAAGTTCAATTGGATAATACTATGGATCTGGGTTATGAGTGTATCTTCAAAAGGCAGCTTGGACCAATTGGGTCCAGATTCATCATTAATGAATCTTCTTTTGAATTTTTATTTTTTATTTTTATTTTATGTGCATGAATGTTTGCTTGCATGTATTTAAATGCACCAATGTTGTGTGATGTCTGCAGAAGCAAGAAGAGGACATCAGATCCCTGGAACTGGAGTTACAGACAGTTGTTAGCTTCCATGGGGTGCTGGAAACTGAAGCCGGGTCCTCTGCAAATAGTGGGCCAAGTAGATACTGGATGGCAATTTGATATATTCATTCCATTAATTAAAACTGAACAAAAGTATACACTGCCCAGTCAGCCCTGCATTCATGTCAGGGGATATACACAGGAAACATGTGGCAAGGTACATTCTCCAAAAAATTTACAAATTTGACATTGGTGATAATCTGGAAACTAAATGATTGCAATGACTGCATTGATTGGGTGACGTGGTCCGACTTATCTGGGCTTATTGTATGTAGTACAGGAGAAAGTCACTCTTCCTTCAGAAACAGGAATGTCCTGACCATTTTAAATAAATGCTATGCGTGTAACTGCTTCATTCCCTATATGTATGAAGATAAGAGGCTATTTATCCATATTAATGAGGGATGAACAAATCTGATTTTGAAACAAATGATTTTCTCAAAGCCCTGCCAAGAGATGACAAAGCCAGACTTGCAGGTCAGATAGTGCTCTTGATTGGCCTTGGGTTTCAGCCTTCACACATCAAAGATCTGCTGGACACTGGCTGAGGTGGTGAAGTTGGGAAGACTGTTAAAGTCAGAATCAGAACTCAGGACTTGCGTGGTGATTTGGGGAATGACTGTTTTAAATCTTTTGTCCTTTTGTTCCGTCATACTACTTGGGACACTTTAAAAATGTCTCATTTCTTGAGCTGGGTGTGGTGGTGCATGCCTTTAACCCCAGCACTCAGGAGGCAGAGGCAGGCAGCTCTCTGTGAGTTCAAGGCCAGCCTGGCCTACATAGCGAGTTCCAGGACAGCTGGGGCTATAGGGAGACCCTGTCTCAAAAAAGACCAAAAAAAAAAAAGTCTCATTTCTGATTTATGTTTAATCAATAAAAGACTTTTATTTCTGGGGCTGGAGAGATGGCTCAGCAGTTAAGAGCACTGGCTGTTCTTACAGAGGACCCAAGTGCGAATCCCAGTACCCACATGGCAGCTAACCACCGCCATAACTCCAGTTCCAGGGGATCCAGTGCCTTCTTCTGACCTCTGCAGGCACTGCACGACACAGGTGCACTTACATACATGCAGGCAATACACTCAGACACATAAAATAATAAAATTTTAAAAGACTTTTCTTTTTCATTATGTGGGATTTTTCTTTGCTTATAACTGGACTCTGAAGTAATGTGAAATTTTGTGTATGTCTCTTTCTCCTTTTTTCTTTGTTGTTGTTCTTTTTCTTTTTCTCTCTCTCTTTCTTTACCTTTCTTTCTTTCTTTCTTTCTTTCTTTCTTTCTTTCTTTCTTTCTGGTCTGAGAAAAACAGTTGGCAACTAAAATATCTCATGATTCACTTTTTTGGGCTTTGTTTTGTTTTGTTTTGTTTGAAATAGGATCTCCCTGTAGTTCCAGCTGACCTGAAACTCAGGTCATCTGTGTAGACTAGGCTGGCTTCAATTAAAGGCATGCTCCAACATGCCTAGCCTTTTAAAAAAAATAGTGCTTTTATGGGGAGTAAGCAATCCAGTGATTGTGGCTGTGAACGTCTTTAGTGCCAAAGGGATGAGGGCAAAGATAGCTTCACAAATCCATAATATGATCAAATCAGAAATTAAAAACAAAAACAGGCACTGGAGAGATGGCTCACCAGTAGTTAAGAGCACTGATTGCTCCTGCAGAGGACCTGGCTGGGTTCAGTTCCCAGCACCTGCATGGCAGCTAACAACTGTTGGGAGCTCTAGCTCCTCTTCTGGCCTCCACTGGCATTGTATGCACAAGTACACTTACATGCATGCAGGCAAAACACTCATATACATAAGATAAAAATAACTATAAACTAAAATAAAAAAGATAACACTTGTTTTACATGGAGGTAAATCATTATTTGCAAATTCCCTTGTATGTTCTTAGCAGAAGTGTCCCAGTTTAAAAGAATTTATGTTTCCCCTTCAAAAAAAAGCAGAGTCTTTAAAAGAATTGTTTTTTAACTCTTTTCCAAGGAAAACTCTGTTGGGGCTCTAATAATAATTATTAAAGTTAAAAGATATTTAAGTACTCTAATTGAAAGTCGTCTATTCACCCAGGGGCCAGATGTAACACTGGTGGAAGAGTACTTGATTCCCCTCCCAGCCCATTCAGCTTCATAATAGTGCTGATGAAGTGAGGTGTCTACAAAAGCGATTCTGTTTCCACGGTAACAGAAGCCTCGGCTGCGCTTCTTTAGTGGTGAAGGACAACTGCTCAGTCTAATAATGTATGTGGGCTGGAAGGATGATTAGGAGTAGAGAAGCGAATGAACCAAGACCAGGGAAGGTAATTTCACTCTGGCTGCCTGACACAAAGGAACCAGAATCCTATAAAACTACCACATTCTTCTTTTAAAAAATTCTACAGCCAAATAATTTCTGCAATGACTTTCCCAAAAAGCAATTGCGATGCAAAGGAGAAAAAACTGCTCCCTTTTAAATTTCTTCAGTTATCGCCTTTAAAAAGCAACTCTACAAAACATTGACCACAGCCAGTGGTTCAGTATAACTATTCTTGTGTTGCAATTGCCCCCTTTACTGATGTGGATACACCCAGGATCTTCTGTTTTATGTTCTTGATCCACTTCTTTTCTTTCTGATCCTCATGCCTACCTACAGGAGACGCCATACTGAGCTATGTGTCATCCGTATTATTCTTAATTCCTCCTGTAGGTATGGAAACCAGGGGAAAGCCAGGATATTTGAGCAAGTTACTTGCGCTAGGCTTTGTGTAGGAAAATGATAGCAAAAGGGATGACATGGTTGCATTTATTGCTTCGTTCTTATTTGACAATAATTTATTGGATGTTTTGTATCAAGCAGTGTAGTTGGTATTGCAGATAAACAGAACACTTCCTTCAAGAACTTATGTAGGCCAGCAAGGGGGAGAGCAAGTTCCATTCACTGTGCCACGTGAAAATACAGTAGCAGAGTTGGGTCGCGCAGAGAGGCACATGTTCAGTCCCTGTGGAGCTAGGAGTGAGTGTGAAGCAAGGAAATAGTGAGGGGGTAACGTCCACGTCTGTGAGGAAGTCTCAGAAGCTTTGGAATCAGTCAGAACCAGAAGGAGAGTATATCACTAAGGAGTTGAACCCGGAGGAGATGGAGAAGCAGGGATAGAGTTTAGGCGGCAGGCTGACAAGACCAGAAAGTTACCAAGGTTTAAATGATTGTGAAAGTGAATAGTGATAGTGAATCATATGAGAGGTGGAATTTGAGAGAGGAGTCAGGGAGACGGGAGAAGAAAAACAAACCATAAAGACTCAGTAATCGTGAAAGAGAGCAGCAATGAGAGCTGGCACGGGAAGGGCATGCTCTGTGGCCAGAGATATAGCTAGCGGTATAACACATGCTCAGTATGTTCAAGGGCCGAGATTCAGTCCAGCACTGTCATAAGAAGAAAAACAAAATGTTGCAGAGTCAACTGCCTAAGTTCAAATCCCGATTTTTCTATTTATGGAATGTATGACATTTGGGAAAGCTATTTGGCTTCTCTGATCCTAATTTCCTTGCTTGTAGAATGAGGGTGACAAATAATTATGGAGGAAAATTGAAAATTAAAGGAGTTAAGTCTGAAATGTTTTAAAATCAGTAGCTTGAATATGTAAATACCTAGAAGGTATTAAGTATAACAAGTAAA